CTGGAGGTTGAAGCCCCCTTCTTGGGGTATGCAATGGCTGCCAAATATTATATTCTAGCCTTGCAACCCCATTACGAAGGGGTTACTTCAACACTCCAATCGCCCGCTAAAGTACCTGTAATTACCTGTGGGGGTTAGTAGCTACTATACGAATGAAACCAAGATTACTTTTATAACTAACTCTATTTAAATAATTAATAATTCATTGCGTATGTATGTGTGGAACTTGACTGTACTTTCATACAGTCAATGTTCCGTAACTAATACTTCTTATTCTTACATCTTATGCTTATATAATCGTATGAGTATATGGGGGAGAGAATAGCTATATCTTCTAATTTACATAATCTGACCTTTAAGCTGGACCTGTCTTGTTGCACAACACACACACAACTAACACTAACGTATCCCAAGGCGTTCGCCTATGGGATACGTCTCAGAAGGCTGTCACTTATTAATTCTCAGGATCTCCGGAGCGTCTCTCTGATGGACCCCAAGAACCAATAGATAGTTAGGGATAGTGGTAGGGATGGTGTACCCTGGGTTGACGACTATCAGGCGACAATAATTATCAATACGACGATAATTATGATTATCGTCACAATATGATTCAATATGCTATTACCAAATGAATAAATCTGTATAAGATGGTTTAATATAAAATGTCAATAAAAAACGTTAATTCCAATTGCAATCTTGATATAAGGTACAAAACACGAACAACAGCCGGACAGTAGTGGAATATAATTCTACATATTATCTCAAAACTATCCAATTTGAATTGTCGTTTTTTAAATTTAAATCAATTTTTGTTCTAAAAAATACTGCTTATTTTTTAGCGATAAAACAATTAAAAAATGTAAACTGCGAGTGGAATGTTTCAAAATATCAATAGCCATGTTCCAGAAATATTTATATATTTTTTGGAGCAAGTAAAATAAAGTAAGTAAATTTAATAATTCGACGATTCAAAGTGGGTTATTTTATAATAATATGTAATGTTATATTCTATCGTATAAGGGCTGTTGTTCGGCTTAGGTTTTTTACATCTAGATTGCAATTAGAATTAACGTTTTTTATCGACATTTTGGATCAAAATATCTTATACAGATTCATTCGTCTTTTAGTAATGACATACTGTAGCATATAATGATATAAAATTGGCGGAGACACTTCATCTTCTATCTCATATGTTGCCATTAGATATTGACACAGTTATTAAAAATTATGAATTTGGATTGTCATCATTGATTCATGTATACTTAATTATTAACGTTTCATCTAATTTGAATGATTCAAAAAACATTCGATTCATATAAATAAGGAGAAGTGCTGTTTAATTTTTGGCAAAGCCGTTTCGAAGATACGAGGCAAAAAGTGCAAAAAATAGTGATTCAGTTTTGAAGAGAATGGAGCGATAAGAAAACGATTTCAATAATTTAAAAAAACATTTTACTTATATTGACAAAATGAGCAACTGATTAAATTTTGAGGAATGTGAAAAAAGTGAAGAAAATGGCATTTGGCGGTGAAAAATGATCATTAGACATATCGATGCTTTTCTGACGCAACCTCGTAACTCGATTTTTGACGATTTTGAGTTTTAATCGGAAAATGAATCACTAAATATAGACGCATAGATCTGTGAAGTTTTGTAAAAAAAAATCAACCGAACGTTTTTTATTGAGAAGAATACAATCACGTATCTCAATTCAAAAAATGTGCCATGCGCAACCTCGTATCTCAGTTTCTAATACATGGTGGCGTATATAAACAAGTTTCGCTGTCAGCAATGTTGTTTAGTTCAATCTTTCTAATAAAAATTATTATTCAATTAAGTTAATTGTTATTAAAACTTAATGACCGATAGTTAATAAATACATTTATTATTGACTTACCGCAAGTTATAGTAATTTTCCTAAAATTGTAATTTACATATAGTTAATAAACCTTTTTACATATGTTCGGACGTCTTTTCATTTTATTATATTGGCCATGAAAGTTTACAAAACTTCAGAGCATTAAGCTTTATACGGAATGGTTGCTACCCCTGGTAGAGGGGGGTAGCGGAGTGTTTCAAAGGAACTAGTCGTTCTGTTCTAAAAGTGAAGCCGACTTAACCACATGTAAATAACCTATACGCATAAATATATTTTTCTTCATTAATACTTAATAATACATCAGTTATTGTGATTAGAACTGCAACAAATACAGAATATAAAATTAAATCAGTTTTTTAATACAGTCCACAGCGACAAAGGTTAAATAATAACCTAACAACCTGAGTGATCGAAGAAGAAGAGTTTTAGTAAATTCTTGAAATACGCACAAATAAACATTTTGGTCCTTCGAGCCGGATCGTGAATTACAAGCAGTTAATTAAAGTACAATAGTGATAACAAATTTCTAAGTGTTGTGAAGAAGAAACAATCAAAAGCGGCTAAACTTTATAACCACGTGGCGGTCAGACCAGAGCAAACAAGGGCAACGAAGGCTGAGGACAATTACAACATCTACACACCTGTATTACAAGTAAGTCTGTTTTCATTCCTTTCATAATATCCCAATAATTTCACATATTGCTCGGTTGTGTTTAATATTGTATTCAAAATGGCGGAACTTAAAGCGAAGCGTGGATTCATTAAATCCAAATTGACGAGAGTGCAAAATTTTGTAAATTCATTAGATTCCACAATACTAGATGAAAATATAATTATTGAATTAAATACCAGACTCGAAAAGATATTACCAATTATTGATGAATTTGAAACGATACAATATGAAATTGAATTAATTGAGGGTGTATCAGAAAGCGATAAGGAATCTTTCGAAAGTGATTATTATAGAACAATAGCTAAATTAAAATTTATAATTCAAAATTTCAATGACACGAAAAAATGTAAAGACGATCAGCAAACATTAGGGCCGTCTAGCATTGATTCGTATACAAATATCAAAAATATTAAATTGCCAACAATTAAACTTCCCACGTTTGATGGAAGTTACGATAAATGGTTAGAATTTCATGATTCATTTAACGCTTTGGTGCATAGCGACAATACTTTGAGCAAAATTCAAAAATTTTATTATTTAAAATCATCATTAGAAAAAGATGCTAAAAATAGCATTGCAGCTATAGAGGCATCCGATTCTAATTATGATATAGCATGGCAAATTTTAAAAGACAGGTTTGAAAATAAACGGTTAATCATACATAATCACATAAAGGCAATTTTTGATAGTCCAAAATGTAATCGCGAATCTCATTCAGAATTAAGAACGTTATTAGAAACGATTTCTAGGCATCTACGCTCATTAGAGTCATTAGGCAAACCCACAGATAAATGGGACACAATTATTATATTTATATTCACAAATAAATTCGATACGCGTACGTTACGGGATTGGGAATCTTTTAACTGTAGCAAAGACAAGCCGACGTTGACAGATATTAATAATTTTATTAAACAAAAATGTGATATGTTAGAAAAGTTATCCACAAATATTAGTAGTAAACCTTTTCCTAATAATATTAATAAATCTTTGGCTCAACACATAAAATATAAGAGCACAAATAATAATCATAATCCATCAATTAATTATCTGTCAACGGGGCGGCAAACTTGCTATTTATGTGAAGAAAATCACTCTTTATATTACTGTAAGCATTTCAAAGCGCTATCTATTAAAGATAGGATAAGTAAAATCAAAGAATTGAATTTATGTATAAATTGTTTCAAGCGAGGGCATAAGGTAGACGTTTGTTTGGCATTTCCGTGTAAAATATGCAAAATGAAACATAATACATTGGTTCATTTGAAGAGACTAATACAATTCCTAGCACATCGGGTTCAAATATGACGGTTGCTAATTATTCGACAAAAAATATTAATACAAAATTACAGCCACAAGTAATTTTAGCAACAGCTGTAATAAAAGTAGAAAACTCGAGCGGGGAGTTCATAGAATGTCGGTGTCTTTTAGATTGCGGGGCACAAAGTAATTTTATTACGGCAGATACCTGCAAAAGGCTAGGTATAAAACTAGACAAAACAAATTACACAGTTATGGGCGTCGGGCAGATAGAGACCAATATTCGGTTCTCAACAAATGTTAATTTTAAATCTACAAATAATTCATTTAAATCCAATATAAATTGTTTAGTGCTAGAAAAAATAACAGAACCACTTCCATTAGTTTCCATAGGTAACAATTTTAAAATTCCGACAAATATTTTCTTAGCTGATCCGGAATATAATAAGACGCGAAATATAGATATACTTTTAGGGGCTGATATGTTTTGGAAACTTTTATCGGTAGGTAGAATTAAATTAGGTGATAACGCACCGATTTTACAGAAAACTTTATTAGGTTGGATATTAGTTGGGTCGTTTTCTCCGAATTGCACATATTCAAAAAATTCAAAACATTCAACAAATTTATTGGCATTGAATATTTGTAATCTCAGTCAACAATTAGAAAAATTTTGGCAATTAGAAGAAATAAAAAACGATATTAGTCATTTAACTGACGACGAAACGTTTTGTGAAAATCATTTTATAACAAATGTTAAACGCGATTCTACTGGTAGATTTATAGTGAAAATTCCTTTTAAAGATAACAAAGTTCACTTAGGAGATTCTAAAAGTCATGCTGTTCAAAGATTTCTGACACTTGAACGTAAATTTCACAGAAATAGTTTATTAAAAGTAGATTACGTAAATTTTATTAACGAATATATCCAATTAGGACATATGTCTGAAGTTAGGAATTTTAAGATTAAGTCAAATAATCAATATTTTTTGCCACATCACGCTGTAAAAAATGAATATAGTTCAACAACAAAAACGAGAGTTGTCTTTGATGGGTCGGCAAAAACCTCAAGTGGCTTGTCATTAAATGATGTTCAATATACGGGACCATCAATTCAAAATGATTTATTTTCAATCATTTTAAGATTTAGAATACATAAATATGTTTTGTTAGGCGATATCTCAAAAATGTATCGGCAAATATTAATTAATGAGGACGACAGGGATTGGCAATTGATTGTTTGGCGGGCCAATCCAACAGATGATTTGAAAACTTATAAATTAAATACGGTCACATATGGCACAGCATCTGCGCCGTTTTTAGCTATACGTTGCCTTAAAGAATTGGCAAAAGAAAATGAAACACGTTTGCCTTCCGCTTGTAAAATAATTGACAAAGATTTTTATGTAGATGACCTGATGACAGGGGCGGAAACTATTAATGATTTAATAAAAATAAAAAATGAAGTATATGACATTTTAAAAAGCGGTGGATTTGAGTTACGAAAATGGCTATCAAATATAGATATTAACGAATATGAAAAACGCGAATATAAGCTAAATTATGAAGAAATTAATACGCTAGAACTAATGCAATCAGAAGTAAATAAAAGTCTTGGAATAATGTGGAATTACAAATTAGATACAATTAGTTACATCAATAAACATTTCATTAAGAATAACAATATTCCAACAAAGCGAACTGTTTTATCACACGTTAGTCAAATTTTTGATCCCCTAGGATTAGTAGGTCCAATTACTATAGTGGGAAAAATGATTATGCAACAACTATGGAAATTGGGTATAGGGTGGGACGAACAACTTCCCGAAAATTTAGTTAAGGAGTGGTCTAATTTTTATGACGGTTTACAATTATTAAAACATATCTCAATTGAACGATGTACGCGACAAGCAAATTATGATAGTAGATTAGAATTGCATGGGTTTTCAGATGCTTCCGAAAAAGCATATGGCGCCTGTATTTACGTTAGGACGATTTCAAAAGACTCAATATGCGTACGGTTACTTTGTGCAAAGTCAAAGGTTGCTCCAGTAAAGCAAATATCCTTACCAAAGTTAGAACTATCCGCGGCAAATCTTCTAGCCAATTTAATGACAAAAGTAAAAGAATCCCTTAGCATTCATATTGATGATATTTATTTGTGGTCCGATTCAACGATTACACTCTGCTGGATTCGAGCTCATCCATCAAAATGGAAAACCTTTGTAGCAAATAGAGTAAGTAATATTCAGTCATTAACTAAAATAGCACATTGGAAACATGTCAAATCTGCAGATAATCCAAGCGACTTAATATCACGCGGAGTTCATATATCAACTTTAATCAATTGTAAGCTATGGTGGGAAGGACCTTTATGGCTTTCTCAAAATATTACAACTTTGAATTCTGTAGATAATTTAAATTTTGATGACAAAAACATACCAGAAACAAGAGCAATTAATTTATTAGTCACCAATGTAGAATTTGATTTATTTTCTCGGTTTTCGTCATTGCGAAAATTACAATCAATAATGGCATATGTAAATAGATTTATTACGAATTGTAGACTTAAAAAGGATAAGTATAAACGGAAGTTTGGACCACTTACAACACAAGAATTAGATCAAGCTTTTAAAGTATTGATAGTAATTGCACAAAAACAATCTTTCCAATTAGATTATAAGAATCTTGTCAATTCTAAATCGCTCAGTAAAGAGAGCAGAATTTTATGTTTAAATCCTTTTATGGATAATTCGAAAATTATGCGAGTAAGCGGTCGATTAAAAAACACAAATTATTCATTTGATAAAATTCATCCTATAATATTATGCCCAAAACATAAATTAACTACGTTAATATTGCATCAAGAGCATCACCGATTACTTCACTGTGGTGCTCAACAACTTCTCGCAAGTATTAGAGAACGATTTTGGCCAATTTCTGGACGTAACGCTTGTAAAGAAATTATTCGGAAATGCGTTACTTGTTTCAAAGCAAAACCATCGTCAAATGATTATTTAATGGGAAATTTGCCTAGTAGTAGAGTTAATCAAGATTTTCCATTTAACAATGTCGGCCTTGATTATGCTGGACCGTTTATTATCAAAGATCGAATAACACGCGGTGCCAAATTTATTAAGGTTTATATTTGTATTTTTATATGCATGTGCACCAAGGCTATTCATTTGGATCTGGTCTGCGATTTATCGACAGAATCCTTTTTACAAACATTAAAACGATTCAGTGCTAGAAGAGGTCTTCCTAGTAATATATTTTCGGACAATGCAACAACATTCGTTGGAGCAAACAATCATTTAAAAGATTTATATAAATTTTTATTGGAATCTAACGAAGAGATTAGAAGCAAATTAATAAGTCAAAATATTAGCTGGCATTTTATACCAGCAAGATCTCCTCATTTCGGCGGACTGTGGGAAGCTGGAGTAAAAAGTTTAAAATACCATCTTCGTAGGGTGTTACGCGAGACAAAATTATGTTACAATTCAATGTATACATTATTAACACAAATCGAAGCAATTTTGAATTCTCGTCCGTTAACTCCCTTATCCTCTGATCCATCTGATCTCAATCCACTACTCCAGCACATTTCCTGATCGGCAGATCATTAACATCACTTCCAGAAAATTCACTTTCCCACATCCCAGAAAACAGACTAACAAAACTCCAGCATCTTGAAAAGCTAAGGCAGCATTTTTGGACAAGATGGCACAAGGAATATCTAGGAGAATTACAATCACGGACCAAATGGAGAAGACCAATGGAACAAGATAATCTTATAGGCAAACTGGTGCTTATAAAAGATGACAATCTACCACCATTAAAATGGCGTCTTGGACGGATCACAGATATACACCCAGGCAATGATGGTGTCGTACGGGTTGTTACACTGAAGGGCCCCAATGGAGAACTAAAAAGGGCACTAAACAAAGTGTGCATTCTACCAATCAATAATGAAATATCTTAAGTTTTATATAATATTAAGAAATATAAGTTAAATAATTTTAGATTAGATTGTCATGCAAATCACTATTACATTGTTAATCAATTTTTATACTCGTAAAATCTTTATACAATTTCTATACTTAATGTTAGTTCAAATCGCTATGTTTATATTTTAAAAGCTGTTAGCTTTTCAAGGCGGCCGGCATGTTCGGACGTCTTTTCATTTTATTATATTGGCCATGAAAGTTTACAAAACTTCAGAGCATTAAGCTTTATACGGAATGGTTGCTACCCCTGGTAGAGGGGGGTAGCGGAGTGTTTCAAAGGAACTAGTCGTTCTGTTCTAAAAGTGAAGCCGACTTAACCACATGTAAATAACCTATACGCATAAATATATTTTTCTTCATTAATACTTAATAATACATCAGTTATTGTGATTAGAACTGCAACAAATACAGAATATAAAATTAAATCAGTTTTTTAATACAGTCCACAGCGACAAAGGTTAAATAATAACCTAACAACCTGAGTGATCGAAGAAGAAGAGTTTTAGTAAATTCTTGAAATACGCACAAATAAACAACATATTTAACGTTTCAGAGGTTTTTGAATATATTGACATACCTTAAAGAAATGGATGTATGTGTTTGTGTGTGTGTGTGTGTGGATACAATTTTCTGTCCACGTTTTCGGGAGCACGGATCAACCGATTTTAAACATTCAAAAAGCAATCGTTTCCTATTGAGAAAACAGAGCATCCGATTTGAATTATTTAAAAACATTCAATTTGTATTGATGACGTGGTGATTAGTTTCTGGAAAAGACAGGCCCAGTCGTTTCAAAGCTTCCGATTCGAATGATTCAAAAAACATTTTGCAGTATAAAGAATCGATTAGTTTAGGAAAGCAGAAATTTTTTTTGTCCATTTTTTTTAATTTACAATTATTTCAATTTATTACAATATGAAAAATGATTCGGATTTTAATTTTAATGCTAGCTAAAATTCTAAAACTCTCTTATATACTTCAAGTAAATAAATTTAAATTTGCAAATTAGTTTATATAATTCTTATAAATATGAGATATGTTCTTTTATACTTTTATTTACTTTTTATGTATACATATATAAACGTCGTTCTCCAATTTATTCTTATATTTTGTCATTCAAATACGAATACTATTTGAAATCATTTATTATTCCTCGATTCTATTTAATTACGGAACGGGAAGTTCCACCAATTTGCTTAAAGACACGATGCCATGCACCACTAGTTATATTTTTATTATGTTGAGAACAAATATCACAGTAAGCTACAAAAATTAAACAATTATCAATTCTTATTGATAATAAATTCTCACATGAAATTAAATTTTGTATTTTTTAGAGTTAGATAATGTGTCATCCGCAGATAAAAAAATAATTAAATAAAGAAATAATAACAAACTAGTATGACTATTAACACAAACACATAAATAAATGTTAAAAAAATTTGAAGTAAAATATTAAATTTATTGTATGTAGATTAAGATTCAATATTATATTATATAATCATTCATGAATCTCTTGACATCTCTATAAAATTAAAATAGTTAATAGTAAAATTGAAATGGTATTTCAAAGTGAAATATGTATATAAATTAAATATTAAAAAATATTAAATATTTATTCTTGCAATCCTACTTATTGAAAAAATATGAAGGTACAAAAAGTTCTTATATCATTTCTTTGAAAAATAATAAAATCAGAATATAATAGTTTTGATTCAAATTGAGCAGGTCAGTTTTAAATACAAGATTTCTGATATATTATTTTAAATGATTGTAAAATTAAAATATATATTTTTGTAAATTATGCCGAATATTTATATTGAAAAAATATAATTTTCTATAGGTACTGCAACATGATATATATATTAGAAATTTCATTCCTAATTGTGATTAATTAACATTTGGAAAACTATAAATACAAATTTCATATTATAAATTTAACTAGTTGGTTTGGTATTTAGCCTTGAGGCAAGTACATGAACTTCCCGAAATGTGTAACTAATCGACTTAATCAAAAAAAAATGTGTAAATAATATACTTCATTAATCCTACTTTAAAAAAAAACGATAATAATTTTAGCAAACTTTGACGAATTTTTAAATTAAACTACTTGTCGTTAGGCCGTAATATTACAGTAAGTTCTTAAGACCATGATGTATATCGCCAAAAAAAATTCCATGAAAATCGGCTTAAATTTTTTTCAACAGTTAATTACAAGAAAACGGCTCGGTAGATTTTCACCTAAAATTAATCAGTACCATTCCCAACTAATATCTTTCGAACAGTTTTTGATTTTTTAAAATAGTTCGGTAGGATGAGCTTAAATGTGGATGAAAGTTTTTTTCAAATTACAAAGAAACGGCTTGGTAGATCGTTGCACAAAACTGACAAACGATAGTCCTCACCGAAATACATCAAATGGCTTTTAAATTTCTAAAATCGGTTCAGGCGTTTTTGAGAAAACGTCGATCAAAAGTCTAATTTTGACAAATGCCAAAAAGACCATACTGATTTTTGCAAACTTTGACGAATTTTTAAAGCTGAACCAGTTGTCGTAGGGCCGTAATATTTTAGTATGATCTAGAAGACTATGGTATCTATCGTCAAACAAATAATCATAAAAATCGTCGAAATTTTTTTTTTAAAAACTTTATTACAAGAAAACGGCCCGGCCGATCTCTACCAAAAACTAATCAGCACGATTCCCAACCAATATCTTTCGAACGGTTTTTGAATTTCAAAATCGATTCAGAATTGCGGGCTAAAACGTAGACGAAAATTTTTCACTTTTCTGCCATTAATAAGAAGAAACGGCTTGGCCGATCGTCGCACAAAACTGACAAACAATAGTTCTCGTTGAGATACATCGAATGGCTTTTAAATTTTTGAAATCGGTCCAGCCGTTTTCGAGAAAAACGTCGATTTACGGCAAAAAATCTGTTCACATACACACACACACACACACACATACTTTTTCCAAATTTGGTCTCATTCGATTCAGAATGGCTTGAAACGTCGAGAAAACATAAAATTAGCGAATCGGGTTTTTTTTGATGAAAACATAAACTTCTCCTTCGGGAAGTTAAAAAGAATAAAAGTAGTAACAATAAAAATGATAATCACAAAGTAGTAAATTATAAATCCATGAAAGAGCTAAATATCCTAGGTATTGAAATACCTAAACTATGGCCAGATACTATATTGTCGTAATTATAAACTAACATATACCACAAGTTTAAAAATGTTTGTTTTTTTATTAAGAATTATTTAAAAAGTTGATCGATTCTCAAAATAAAACAATTGAAAAAAGTTATTCATGTACTCTTATTTGAAAACAGCATGCCGCAACCACGTATGTTACATTTTTTTCCGTGCGACAAACACGTATCTCAAAGAATTGAAGAAAAAATAATGATTAATGTTTGTAATATCATACTTGTCTCAAATAATTGTTACAAGATTGAATATTTTTAAAATTATAAAAAAATGTTAACAGCAGTTCAAAAATTCGTAATAAAACGTTTTTTGTCTATCCTGAAAAGTAGTAGTTTCTGAGATACGAGGTTGCGTCAGAAAAGCATCGATATGCGCATCACATTATTAGATATTTTATAGAGATTTTAATAATAAGTATGGAGCGATATTGCATTGAAAAAAAGTTAAAAAAGTTAAAAAATTCCAAATTATTTCTAAATATAATTCAAATAAGTCAATTTACTCAAAAATTTAATATTCACAAAAATCAATCTTTTTTGAAAATTTGAATTTTTGGTACGGGAAGTTCCAGCAATTTGTCTTAATTGCCGTACACCAATAGGTGGTTTATTCGCTTCAAAACAGTCGTATATGTGACCCTCCCATACTAGGAAAATGACATAGCTGGCGGGTGTTGCTCAAGAGCTAAGGTAATTAGGGGCTAACACTATAGTTTATACTTCAAAAATTTCATTAAACTTATACTATTTAAACAGAAACCAATTAACTCTTATTTTTTACTTATATTACACATTTGATGACGTTTAAAAGCTGCATATTATAAAAAATATGAATTTTTCAACTTTTCAAACGGCAATATCTCAGAAACGGTGATACTAACAAAAAAATTAATAATAACAATTTCATAGAGAATTTTATAATAAATAAACTTATCTAAAACATAAAAAAAATTATGGTTTCGGCGGAAAATGGGAAAAACTAGATTTTTGCACCTTTGACCTTGAATAAAAAAAATCGCAGATGTCGGATCGTTGGGGACTTTTGACATTTCATTTGTAATGGCCTATTTAACATCTGTACCAAATTTCAGCTCTATGCGAATTGTTCCTAACTGAAAACTTAATTTGACTGGGCTATAATCAATGCTAGTCCTTACCAAATTACATACAATGGCATTTGAAGTTATGAAATCAGTTCAATCGTTTTTGTGAAAACGTCAACAGAAGATCCAAAAAAAAAAACATTACACACACGCATAATTTTCGCACAAATGCTTTGTATGTATGGTTTCGAAGCGACAACCATGGTGAACTAAATAATTTTCAATTCAAAACCATTATTTTCATTCATCATTACTAGATCCAGTTTTTAAATAACAAAAAAATAATACGTAAAGCTTTTTTCTTTTACTGACTATTACTTACTTATCGCTGATTTTTCGCTGTTGTATATGGATAGTGAATATTGCATGACTTCTACTGGATTGACTGTTCATTGCAGTTGCACCTACAGCTCTGCGACGATATCCTCTAACTAAACAATCTAATGTATCTTTTGCATTACGTACTTCAATTTCGGTTAATCCAGGAATTACAATTCTTTTTTGTTGATCTTCTCTGATATCAACTATACTTTGATCTCTATTTGATTTTGATAAAAGATCAAATAATTGTTCTTGATATAATTCCATAAATGATACCTGTAGAACATGAGAAATACTTTACTGAAGAAATGACTTACTGTTATTATTATGTTTACA